TTTTATTTTAATATTCATAAAATACAAAAATAATTAGTACATTCTGAAACATAAGTATAAGTAATTTCTATGAAAATACATCGGTTCAATTTCATTTTCGTCATCGATAGGAGTGATTAAGTCCTCGGAAATCGTGTTTTGTTTCAAATTTTTAAAATAACTGTGGTATATTGGGGGTATATAATTAAGCAAGTCCATCATGTCTTTGTATTTTGCTGAAGAAACAGGACGAGATCCAGCGTATAACGGATCCATTTCTATTTGTGAATAACGCCTAGGTCTTCCTCTTTTTGGTGACAAATCCAAAGTTAGAAATTCATCTTTTTCATCTAAAGTTAGTTTATAAAACATTTTATAGCCATCTGCTGGCGGGTCTGGAGGTAGCCGCCACATCACTATAATATAATTTACAAAACTGCACTATTCTTTCGCACTTATAAAAATAAGTCCAGTGATCACAACTTTTTTAAAAATACTGAAAATAATTCAAAACAATACTTCGCACACACTTATCACACGTTTCTATTTCTTTTACACTAAGCCCCGCAATTAATTTCCTGAGTATAGCGACTTACGCCACTTTCAAAATAAACATGTTTGTTATACCGTTAATTAGCAAAACTTCTCTCGAACAAATCTCAATAGTTCTCAACTTATTGATTCCAAATTTTCTTAAAATGAAAAGATACCGTTCGATTGTAATTAGTGTTACCATTAACTCGATTTTTTGGAAAAAATGACTTATGCCACTTTCAAAATAAACGGCTCAAATAAGTCGCATCTGACTTCGAAGGAGCGCATTGGCGCGTATAACGCGTGTACATTATAATTCTAAACTACGGACGCGACGCAACGTTAAAGGTTCTGCGTTCGTAGTTCAAAATTATAACGTTCACCCGGTAGATGCGCCATTCTGTTCTATGGGACTCCCGGCGCATATATCACCTGTCCCCGCTCCTTCGAAGTCAGATCTGACTCATATTCCTGCGAAAGCTGATTGGTGGTTCCAATGATTCGCCGCGATTTAGGCTTCAGATTCGTGTGAAACAATTTTTAAACAGCTTTTAAGATTTGGTCCTGGAACTGCTTTCAAGCTGCTTTCAAGCCGCTTTAAGTCACTTTGAATTGTTGTCAGCAGCTTCAAGTTGAGTTCAATTACTTTTAGTATGTTTCAGATAGCTTTAAATTGCTTTAAAATTGTTCGAAGCTGCTTTATTATTATTATTATTCCGAAGATAATTGAAATTTTTATATATTGCAACACGGTCTGACGAAATTATTACCGTTCACTGTCATCATGTCGTCCATTCGATGATGGTTATTGCAACGACCTCGTTTAAACATCGATCAAGCAAATCAGATTTCCTCTTGGCTTTGTTTAAGTCGTATTCAAGAGCCCATCGCAATGGGCGATTCAACCGGCTAATTCTTGTTTTCAATGCGAAATACTGCGGTCACATCTCGTGGTATAGCGTTTTCCGCGAAACGGGGACGGGGACGTAGTTTCGTCGATGTCCCGAGTACAATTTTTTTACAGCTTCGTTAGGGCTTTTCAGGTTCATTGTTTGTGAAATCCTCTGTGGTTGTCGTGGATCTGTGATTCTTGCCCGAGTGCCGTAGGAAATATTGCACATTTCGAGGCGGACAAAGGAATTTCGATCGATGCGCGGAGATTCGTGCACAGACTACGGGAATTCACGAGATTTTCTAGCTTTCAAAGCAAAATGGTGCGCGACTTTGAAAAGTATCCTAAAAAGAAACGTTTCTGTGTATTCGAAGTGGCACAGATATCGGCCGGATTTCTTACAGCATAGATTCTATTTTTAATCGCACACTTGGAACGACACGATTTGGGTTTAATTAAATTTTACACACGGTAAAGTGGAGTAAGTGCAGGCTGCTATTTGTTGGACAACAAAAGTTGGAAATAAAACGCGCATATTTTACACATCCGAAAGAAATGGCTATTGTCGCTTGTGCACAAAGCATTGTTAAACTATCATCGCACAACTTGTATTTATTTTCACGTCATTACCTATTTCATATTTACAAGATGATAGAATATTGTACGCCGTGTTATGTAGTATGCGGAAAGAAAGTAGCAGTGATTTTTATGTTTACTTTAGATATACTATGCAAGTCTTGATAAAGCAAATGGCGATTACACGTTTATCGTGATATTTATGTTTACGAGAAAACGCCAATTTATTGTAGACTTCAAGAAACGAGACGCTACAGTTCGACTCGTATAATTACGAACACGTCTAACAAGAACTGCATTTAATTTTCCATTCGACACAAGCTTTTTGGTACGGCAAACAACCCACCCTGTTTAATTTCGATCTGTCGATTAGGCTTCGAAAATTCCAAAAACTTGCAGCTACGATTATCAATTCAAAATTCTGTGCGTGAATTTTCCGACAAAGCATCGAGCGAGAAGAAAATTATCGCTCCATAAACTAGCAGTGCTTCGACGCGATGCCGAAATTGTTCGGCATTCTCCTAGATTAGACCGCATAAGCGAGCTTATTACAACGATGCTTCGATCCAAGGTTTCGCGCGTCTCTCGCGACAAAAATTCCCGGAAAGTAACTCGTCCCTATTGTCTCGTTTTATCCAGCGCTTACGACACCGACACGCGCGGCGCGTTTGAAAAATGTTCTTTACCAAGGCCGCCTCCTTGGCAATGAAATCGCTGGCCGCGTCGCGAACAGTAGCCGAAAACGGAGCTTTCTCATTCGGGTAATTTATCACGGCACTCGCGAAACGGGACCCATCAATTATTTTCGGATAGCGCGAGCTACTGAATATGTATCGCGACGACTTAACGACCCTGCTCTTGTCGTGAATTAATTGCGACGATTAGACGATTAGCCGATTGAGAGAAACGAGGCCGATTGTATCGAGCAACGGGAGGCGCCGCGGAACTTCGCCTCGGAGAAGCTTCGTCCCGAGTTTCTCGAGCAACGAGGCTCAGCCTCGGCTCTAATAAACAATTTGGTACGTTCCTTGCTTAATTAGTTCGTTAAAACTTCCTTCCAAAGCGAAACTCCTTTTGCGCGTGCGAAAGTTTCTGACCGGGCAAGCTCTTTCTTCTTATTGCTGGAAGCCGACCTACGTAAATTTTTACTGGCCAAGCGGAGAATTGCGTCTACTCTTTATTTGTATCAGCTGTTCGTTAAAATTCTTCAAAGTCACTCAAAGCTCGCTTAAGCGAGCTGATGTAGAAATTGGAACTTAGAAGTTGTAACTTCGCGGTGAAAGAATCGTACAGTACCTTGGCTCATTTGAAAATGTATAGTCGAGACTTTGATGCCGGAAAATTGTTTTCTAATTGAGCCGTTTATTTCGAAAGTGGCATAAGTCACTTTGTTTTTAAGTCGATATATTTAAGGGTTTGCGTTTTAACACGTTTCAAAATATGGATGCTAACTTTCGAGAAGATTTACTTGTATTTGTTATCTCAGGATACTGATATTTTTCTCAGTATAAATAATTTCGTATAAACATTAAAAAATCACCACTTCTCATTACGGTAAAGTGACTTATGCCACTTTCAAAATAAACGGCTCAATTAACAAATATTTGGGTTCTAGGAATCGAAAGAAAACGAACGTACAAAGTTTGTTCCGCGATTCGAACTGTCATTTGAAAGATCGGATCCTCTTCTTTGGAACTGGCACTGAACAGTTTCCGTAAAATTTCTTTCTACCGTTTCATCTCGTCGAAACGACACAGTTTATTTACCGGAAGTCTATTAATCCCTTAAACGACTACGCGTGGCAGTCGCACGTTGGTCAACAACATTTACTCAAAATTTAATCCTGTCCAAATCAAACATATTGTACGCCATTTTATTTCACCTGTTTCTTCGCATTTCATTAGATAAAAAACCGAGTTACTTTGTAAATCATTAAACAGCAGAAACAAAAAACGATAGGCAATTTTGTAGCCCAGAGATTCTTAAACGTCGCGGATCGCTAGATAACCGTTTCAACGACCGAACTTTGTCTAAGCAAAGCTGGACAATTTTCTCCCAAATAATAATTTCCAAAGTACTTGTTGCATTGCACGAATCTAAATAATTTGACGGATCATGGTTAAGTCAAGATTATATTGTCTAAGCGAAGCTGGACAATTTTCTTCCAAATAATAATTTCCAAAGAACTTGTTGCATCGCACGAATCTAAATAAAATTTGACGGATCATGTTTATGTCAAGGTTATATTGTCTAAGCGAAGCTGGACAATTTTCTTCCAAATAATAATTTCCAAAGAACTTGTTGCATCGCACGAATCTAAATAAAATTTGACGGATCATGTTTATGTCAAGGTTATATTGTCTAAGCGAAGCTGGACAATTTTCTTCCGAATAATAATTTCAAAAGAACTTATTGCATTGCACGAATCTAAATAATTTGACGGATAATGTTTATGTCAAGGTTATATTGTCTAAGCGAAGCTGGACAATTTTCTCCCAAATAATAATTTCCAAAGAACTTGTTGCGTCGCACGAATCTAAATAATTTAACGGATCATGTTTATGTCAAGGTTATATTGTCTAAGCGAAGCTGGACAATTTTCTCCCAAATAATAATTTCCAAAGAACTTGTTGCGTCGCACGAATCTAAATAATTTAACGGATCATGTTTATGTCAAGGTTATATTGTCTAAGCGAAGCTGGACAATTTTCTCCCAAATAATAATTTCCAAAGAACTTGTTGCGTCGCACGAATCTAAATAATTTAACGGATCATGTTTATGTCAAGGTTATATTGTCTAAGCGAAGCTGGACAATTTTCTCCCAAATAATAATTTCCAAAGAACTTGTTGCGTCGCACGAATCTAAATAATTTAACGGATCATGTTTATGTCAAGGTTATATTGTCTAAGCGAAGCTGGACAATTTTCTCCCAAATAATAATTTCCAAAGAACTTGTTGCATCGCACGAATCTAAACAATTTGACGGATCATGGACGAGATCTAAGCTAAGGCCGGCGGACAAAGTGTTAATATTATCTCGCGATGTCACGGACGAAGCAAAATGAATCGCCCTTTGGCAATCCGCCGCGATCAAATACGAACTGGATTAGCTGTGCCGTTGCACTTTCCGCGATCCGCTTTGAACGTCCCTTTATATGTTAAACACCGTCGCTTCCCACAGCGATCCATTTAATCCGACTCGCCGGAGCGCACTCCCGGCGACTGTCGAAGTGGTTATTCGTCGAACCGAGTCCCTCGATTTCGTAGCTAACATTTTCGACAGCTCATCGCGTATTCCCTGTTAGGTAACGAGAGCCTGCGAGCTGTAGGCGCGCTGCTGGTGGAGCACTTCGGGGATTACTACAACATCGGCGTCGACTCGAGCGCCGGGAACAGTATGCCATGGTCGGACGCGATCGCGAAGCTCATTAGCCGCGACATAGACGTTGTAATTGGTCCGCGGCCAGCGGACTTGGCCGTCTTTCACGACATGGAGATCGTCTGCTGGTACATGTACAGGAACATGGTGTTCGCCGGCTTGGTCAAGTTCAAGACCGTGCAGACCGGCGTCCTGCTGCTGCTGACGCCGTTCCACTATCTCGTCTGGCTGTGCGTGCTCCTCCTTCTGATGGTCTACGTTCCGTTGTTGCTGGCGCTGCGCAAACTGTCCGGCATGGGGCTGATCAAGGAACGAGTCCCGTTCGAGTACGTCTCCTCGATCATGCTCTCGCAGAGCGTCGCGCTCCCGAGAAAATTCGGGCTGAGGCTGGTGCTGCTCCTCTGGATGGTGTTTTCTCTCTACTTGAGCACAGCTTATAACAGCACGTTCACCAGCTCGCTGGCGGACGTCGAGACGGAGGTCCTGCTCGGGAATCTCAAGGAACTACGTGACTCCGGGCAACCACTCGGCGGGCCGGCCGCTATTCTGTCTTACTTCAACGATTCCACCGATAGGGACGTGAGGGATTTGGGCCGGAGGTAATCTTCCGAGAGTTTCTCGAGTTTCGAGATATTTGTCAGGCTTTGGGACGTGTTGCTTCCGGGCGGGGGTTGTTTTCGGTTTCGTTAGCTACGCGAAAATGTTTACTTTATTCGTACGAACGGCGCCGAGTGTTTTCGCTTTTTGAACTCGCTCAGGGATTTTACCGCGTCTCGAGTCCTTCGGTCTTGTTACGGATAACGAGACACCTTCGAGGAGTTCGTTCGTTCCGTGTTGACGACGACGTACAGTGGGCCGCAAAAGTGTTCGTACACCTCCTAAAAAACGCGATAACTTCCTTAAAACTGGGCCGAGCGACTTGAATTCTTTTTTGGCGATGGAAGGTCTGGTCTACTTAGACGATGGCTAAAGTGCATTTTTCTTGAATTTTGTCGTTACCTGGGACGATAGAGAACGATGAGAAACTCTCGTTTTTTGATTTTTGATGTCTGAGCCTAGGGCAATAATTTAAAAAGAGATCGAAGATCTCGGTAACTTATATATAATAACTATATATTTATATAACAAATATATAGTTATATATAATAATAGTTTATTAATATATATATAATAATAATATAATATTATAATTATAATATACATAATAATTAATATTATATATATTAATATACATATAATAATTGTTAACATATATATAATAACATATATTTAACTTTTATAATAACTATATATATTTAAAACTACGATTTTTGATATCTTTAATTTGTTATAACTCGCAACAACGTCAACTGATTTCGATAAAATTTTCAGCACGCACATAAAAAGTTACCGTCACATAATCTAAAAATATACTGAAATTCCCCCGAACATTTGTACAGTTTTGTATGTAACCTAGTCATTTTTGTCACGAGTGCATAAAATACGCAGTCTACGTATAAAACGATATACATTAGTCGCGGTTTAAGGTTCGGTAGTTCTAGTCTTAAAGCCAAATACTCCAACTAAGCGATGCAATCACTAGCAGCATACCTAGAGAAGCGCTTATCTTAGATTCAAGCGAGACCAGAATAAATCACGACTCGCTCTGGTCAGCCAGTTAGAGTACGTGGATAGAAAATCGTTCCAATTATTGCACAATATTTTAAGCTACCGTTGTTGTACGATCGAGTCCTACGTTTTCCATATTTTCCAACAGCTACAAAGTGATGGAACCGGAAGAAGCAGTCGACACGATGTTCTCGGGAAAGGGACTAACAGTGGTGCAACAGTTCACCGTGGACAGGTTGAACTGGGATTACAGGAGCAACAAACGCCTCCGGCTGTACAATATGCATAGACCGGTGTTCCGATTCCCGGCGTTCCTATATTCGAGAAAGGGCTACGTTTACCGAAGACCACTGCGGCGACTCGTCACTAGGTACCGAGAGATCGGCATGATACAGAAGCTGGACAACGTGTTCCTGCTCGGCGAGGACAATCAGATCGGTTCACAATCCACTGACGACATTCTGACCATAAAGCATCTGAAACCTATCTTCGAGATGTTCTTCATTTCCCAGGCTATCTGTCTCTTGATACTCGTTGTCGAAATATTGCATGTCCGGGTCTTGGAATCATGGGACAATTGAGATCATCCGGAAAATGTGATTCTCCGTGAATTTCGGTGACTTTTGGACGCAGCAGAAATTTTCTGTATTCGTTTTCATTGGAGTTCCGTATTTGTGTGCAGAAGATAAATGTACCTAATAAACAGACACACGCACAGGCGATGCAATGATGTAGTTTTTCTTCCAGCAGTTAAAACGAATTGGAAATAAGTGTTATGATGTTTTTAAATTGTTCGAATGTATTCATAGTTTTTCAGGGTTATTTTGTACACGTATGCGAGATAAACGAGACAAAAATGAAGCGAATATTCGTATCCCAAAAGTTAGCAGGATTTTTCGATTACACACTCTGTGTTTAATAATTCCTATTAATTAAGCAACGATAAAAGTATTTCTTCAGATAAAATTACTTCCTCATTTGTTACATAGGATTATCGATCGCGATCGCACAAAACGCCGAGAAAAAAACGCCCTCGTAGTCACGGTCGAACCCTCTCCTAAATAAAAGAATAAAACGTTTTCTCAAATAAGCGTCGCTATCCAAACGAGCCCGACATGTTACTGTTATTCCGAAGATCGGGAAAGTGTCGCAACGTCTTTAGAATAACGATCACCGTCTCACATTCGATTTTCACAGGAATAAATCAAATTTTCCTGCGAGACCCCGTCGGCTTTTCTCTCGAACTCGTCTTGCACCTTTAAATTTCGTTCCGCGCTGGAGAGACTTGCAACGCGGGCAACAACGAGCCGTAATGCGCTCACGTAGCCAATGATGCATGTTCCGCGCGCACACAGTGTTTCCTCTCGACGACTTTCTCGATTTTTCTGGCGCTATTTTCTCCGCGGTGTGACGCAACGCGGGACAGAAATTCGCGCGAGCAGCGTGCGGGCGACTCCGTTCGCGTCTCCGTACACCAAATTGCCCTTGGAAACGGCTTTCGAAGGTCCACGTTGGTATTGCGTCACGTAAGCCTAGGACATTTTCTCGCAGTTTCGCAATCGTTCGCCAGTGTTTGCGCGCGTCTTACGAAGCGCATCGTCGTAAAACGCGTCCCACCGAATTTTACGGGAGCTTCGTTGGCTCCTGACCGGTGTGTGCAGTGGTCTAAAACGCGATTCCGGTCGGAGAAAACAATTTTTTTCCGTTTCACGATCCTCCACACGGAAACACATATGCATTCTAATTGTATATTATACAGGGTGTCCCAGGTTTTAATGTTGAAACTTTGTCAGTATATTCTATGGCACTTTGGCGGCGTTTCGAGTGTGGAAAAGGAAAGGGGAGACGTTTCGTCCGGGGCCCGCTAGAGGATTCATCGGTAAGGCTATCCTAGCGGGCCCTTGCCTTAGACGTAAGGGTAGGACGAAGTCTCGGTGTATATATACGGATCGAGGCGGATCGGCTACTAGCGGGAAGAGGAGCCCTCTGCTGGCGGGTCTGGAGGTAGCCGTTATGTAAACATAGGTCATATAGAGCTTTATTAAGCGTGATGACAATTTGTGAGCAACATTTTTCAAAAATATATGTCTCAAATGAATATGTGCATATCTACTGAAATTTGCAATGACATTATCAGACAGAACTTTCCGGTAGACCTAATATATCGGAGTATCGGAAATTCAATTATTATAACAATTTCTCATGCGTCGCGCTACTTTTATTTGTTCCCTAATTTTTTTGCGAAACCTTCTGCATACTTATTTACACGTGCAAACGAGCGTAAAATGATGAAAAATAGATAGAACTGATATGAAACGTTAGAAACGAATAGGTACGTTTAACACGTTCCGTGCCACGTGTACCATCGATGGTACACGCTTGCATGTTTACTTAGTGAACTGAACAAATTGTTTACAAGAAAGTTAGAACCGAAGAATCAATTTCCACCGCAAGAACGGGCGTTGATAAGTTTTTGTTACGTTGTTATGTGTACGAGAATTAATAATTGCACGTAATACATCAAGTTTTAGTAAAATATCAGAGTGTGAAGATTCGAGTAAAAAAAGCTCGGCACGGAACGTGTTAATAATACAAATCTGTGAAGATATCACACGAATTTAGGAATTTACAGGAATATATTGTCGTATTATTTCCAACTTATTAAAATCATTAAAACAAGAAATACATTTTTATTTAACTTCTATATCTCACGATTGACTTAATAGAAAACTGTGTACAATCCTCACGCGACAAGAAGACACCTTCGTGTTTACATTCCCCCTCTTACTAGCTGTCCCACTGCTACAGCCACTAAGAGGGGGAACGTAAATATAAAGGTGCCTTCTTGTCGCGTGAGGACTGTAAACATTGCACGAATTTAACAACAGCGCCCTATTATATCCGACTTAGTAAAATCGTTACTACAAGAGTCACATTGTTATTTAGCTTATGTTACACACAATTCACTCAACACAAAATTGTGAAGACGTGACACGAATTTAACAATACTGTTCCATTATTTCCGACTCATTAAAATTATTAGAAGAAACATTATGTTTATAATTTCTATTTTTAGTGATTGACTTAACACGTTCCGTGCCACGTGTACCATCGATGGTACACGCTTGCATGTTTACTTAGTGAACTGAACAAATTGTTTACAAGAAATTTAGAACCGAAGAATCAATTTCCACCGCAAGAACGGGCGTTGATAAGTTTTTGTTACGTTGTTATGTGTACGAGAATTAATAATTGCACGTAATACATCAAGTTTTAGTAAAATATCAAAGTGTGAAGATTCGAGTAGAAAAAGCTCGGCACGGAACGTGTTAATTGTTTAAATGTTCACGTAGAAAGTAACATGACGAGGAAAAATCATTTTGTTCGGCTGGAATCACACTTGTTTGACAACGTGCAAGCACGGGAACGCGATCGATGCGAGATAAACGTTGCATCCTCGTTCTCATCGATCAGCCTAATCAACCAAAGACTCCACGCTTGTTGCGTTTTACGCGGATCGATCTCCCGCCACGCGTATCCGGTTCTATTTGCTCGCGTACATTTCACGATCGAGCATAAACGAATCCGTTCGGTCTCCGCGTCGCATTTTATGCGCGCGCAGAAACCACCGACGAAGCTCTCGGAACTTTTAATTGAATTGGATCCACTTAGTTCGCACGTTTTATGCGACGATGCGAGGTGATAATATACAGGTTTCATGTGGCCATAGGTGAGCGAATGCTCGCGCAATTATTACGCGAAAATGTGTATTACAATCGCGAATGAGGCTGCGAACCTTGGCGAGTTTGTTCGTTCGTTCGATGAAAATGTTCTCCTGGAATGTATTCGATCATGGTTTTTAATATTGTGGATGGCTCTCGAAGGTTATTAGAGATTTCAAAGTTAACATTGTCTTAATTTGAACTATTTAGGATGCGTTCTGAATTTTTTATTTATTGAATTTATTTTTTATTTTTTGAATTATTATTGAATTTTTTATTATGAAAATGATGCATGCAATGACTTTATCTGCCACGTGGGGTGACGATTTATAAATCTTTAAAATTCCTCTATATTCCTAATAAATAAATATCGTTTGACGGACCACGT